TTACTTAGGGACACAGAATTGTTACTCAGGGACAGACACAGAATTGTTACTGAGGGATACAGAATTGTTACTGAGGGCCACAGAAACGTTACTTAGGGCCACAGAAACGTTACTTAGGGCCACAGAAACGTTACTTAGGGCCACAGAATTGTTACTTAGGGACAGACACAGAATTGTTACTGAGGGACACAATTTGTTACTGAGGGACACAGAATTGTTACTGAGGGCCACAGAACCGTTACTTAGGGCCACAGAAACGTTACTTAGGGACACAGAATTGTTACTCAGGGACAGACACAGAATTGTTACTGAGGGACACAGAATTGTTACTGAGGGCCACAGAATTGTTACTGAGGGACACAGAATTGTTACTTAGGGCCACAGAATTGTTACTTAGGGCCACAGAAACGTTACTTAGGGCCACAGAAACGTTACTTAGGGACACAGAAACGTTACTTAGGGCCACAGAATCGTTACTTAGGGCCACAGAATTCGTTACTAGGGACACAGAATTGTTTACTTAGGGACACAGAATTGTTACTTAGGGACACAGAATTGTTACTCAGGGGACACAGAATTGTTACTGAGGGACACAGATTTGTTACTGAGGGCCACAGAACCGTTACTTAGGGCCACAGAAACGTTACTTAGGGACACAGAATTGTTACTAGGGACAGACACAGAATTGTTTACACAGAATTGTTACTGAGGGACACAGAATTGTTACTGAGGGACACAGAATTGTTACTCAGGGACACAGAATTGTTACTCAGGGACAGACACAGAATTGTTACTCTCAGGGACACAGAATTGTTACTCAGGGACAGACACAGAATTGTTACTCAGGGACAGACACAGAATTGTTACTGAGGGACACAGGTTACTGAGGGACACAGAATTGTTACTGAGGGACACAGAATTGTTACTTAGGGACACAGAATTGTTACTTAGGGACACAGAATTGTTACTCAGGGGACACAGAATTGTTACTGAGGGACACAGAATTGTTACTGAGGGACACAGAATTGTTACTGAGGGACACAGAATTGTTACTCAGGGACACAGAATTGTTACTCAGGGACACAGAATTGTTACTGAGGGACACAGAATTGTTACTCAGGGACACAGAATTGTTACTGAGGGGACACAGAATTGTTACTGAGGGACACAGAATTGTTACTGAGGGCCACAGAACTGTTACTTAGGGCCACAGAAACGTTACTCAGGGACACAGAATTGTTACTCAGGGACAGACACAGAATTGTTACTCAGGGACACAGAATCGTTTAATTAAAGAGTATGTCAGACAACATGCAGCAGAGGAGTGGCAGAGGAGGCAATGTTTTAGGAGCGAGCAGACGTGGCAGCAGAGGAAGGGGTCGAGGCAGCACTATTCGCAGCCAGAGGCCAGTGCTCCCGGTGTCATCCAGCGGTCGTGTCTCCACCGACAACCCTGCCGTCATCGATTGGTTGGCTCGGTCGTCTTCCTCTTCCCAGGTCACCTCTGACACCTACAGCCAACGGTCGGTGGGTACGTCAGACACAACCGTTAGTTGGCATGGCCCGGACCAAGCCCACTGAAATCACGTGTCCTCTACCTGCCCCTGTCCTTTGGTGTTCCCTCACCAAGCGAAGTATCGCATGCTGTGGGCTCAGCCCCACTGTACAGTGAGGAAGAGCAAACAGAGGGCGGTCAGGAACGGGGGGAGACATCCGCCTCTTCAGCAGCCAGGCGAAGAAGTAGTGGCGAGGAGAGTGGCTCGGTAGCCGGTCTAGAGACAGGTCTGTCTCCTGACCCACACGCAGCCGAGGGGGCTAGTAGTGAGGCGGAGACCCTAATTGATGATGATGAGGCTGATCGCACTTGGCAGCCTCGTCGTCATCAGGCTATTGCTTCCGCATCATCAGGAGAAGAGGGTGGCAGCTTGGCAGCGAGCAAAACAGTCGGTGGGTTGCCCAGGAGGCAGCAGGGTCGCAGCAGTGTCAGTGGAGGCAAACGGCCACGGAGTACAGCACCAGCTCCACTGCAGCCTACCACCACGGCCAGTAGTGGTGCCGGTGTGCACGGAGGAAGCAGCAGTCAGCCAGTGAGGAGTATCGGGGGCAAAGTTTCCTACTCGGCGGTGTGGCAATTTTTTGTCAAGCCGCCCGAGGAAGTAAACGTAGCCGTATGTCGACTATGTGGCCAGAAAGTCAAGCGTGGCCAGGGGGCCCATGTTGGGGACTACAGCGTTGCGGCAGCATATGCAGCGTCGCCATTTGGTGGCCTGGGAAAACCGTGATAAAGATACGGCGGTTTCTGCCTGCCCCAGCCCCCCCGCTCCATCACCCGCTCCGTTACTTGCTCCGTCACCCGACGTCAATCGCCCTCTATCAGCCAGTCAAGGCTCCAACACCTCTGCTGAGGGGAGTTGTCGCTCGTTGCCATCTTCCGCTCGTTCAGATGCTCCTTCTCCTGCTACTCCTCTTCACGGATTCCGTCAGCAGTCTTTCTTGGAATCCGTTTCCAAGAGACAACAGTTTGCGAGCACGCACCCGACGGTGCAAAAGCTGAACGTCCTCCTGTCCAAGTTGCTGGTGCTGCAGTCCCTCCCTTTTCCAAGTGGTGGACTCAGCACCTTTCCGAGAAATGATGGCTTGTGCCGCGCCGCGGTGGAGAGTGCCAAGCCGTCATTTCTTCGCCAAAAAGGCAGTGCCAGCCCTGCATTCACATGTAGAAGAGATGGTGGGCCAGTCTTTGAGCATGTCGGTCTCTGCCAAAGTGCACGGCAGCGCCGACGTGTGGAGCTGTAACTACGGTCAGGGACAGTACATGTCATTTACGGCCCACTGGGTGAACGTGGTGCCGTCACAGCCGCACCAGCAACTTGGACAGGTCACGCCGCTTTTGCCTCCACGTTTGCACGTCCTTGGTCCACAAAAGATGTCCGCCTCTACCACCTCTTCTTCCTTCGTGTCCTCAGCCGCCACCCCCGTGCCAAGTCCCATTACCCGACCGGCATATCACATGTGCAGGGCGCAACGGTGTCACGCTGTGCTGCACCTGGTATGCCTTGGCGAACGTAGTCACACAGGGGAGGAACTTCTCAGTGTAATGAACAGAGAAATCGACAGATGGCTGTCTCCGCGCAAACTCAAAATCGGAACCATGTTGACCGACAACGGAAAGAACATGGTGTCTGCTCTGCGTCAAGGAAGGTTGTGCCATGCGCCATGCATGGCTCACGTGTTCAATCTGGTTGTCAAGCGGTTCCTAAAATCCACCATCCCACTGCAAGACATCCTTAAAATGTCACGTAAACTTTGCATGCATTTCAGCCATTCCTACACCGCAAAGCACACCCTCCTTGAGCTGCAGCGGCAGAACGGAATTCCACAGCATCGCCTGATCTGCGACGTTGCAACAAGGTGGAATTCAACCCTACACATGTTAGACCGCCTTTACGAACAGCGAAAGGCCATCACCGATTTCCTGATGTTACAAGCGGATAAAGGTACTCCCCTGTGTAACTTCGATGTCAGCCATTGGCAGCTCATGCGTGACACCTGCCGCTTGCTCAGGCCCTTTGAGGAGGCCACGCTATTCGTGAGTCGCAGGACTATGGGATGAACGACGTCATTCCTCTGTTGCACGTCCTGGAACAAATGCTGTTAACAATGGCTGGTCAGGGTGCGGTAGACGTGGCGCACAGATCTCAACGCCACATGACCCCTGTGGGGGCAGGACAGGAAGAAGAGGAGGAGGTAGAGGAGGACATTTGTGCTCAGGAATTATTGAGTGAAATGGGTGGTTTTTCCACTCAGCGGACAGGAGTGGAGGAGCAGGAGCATCTGGTAGAGGAGGAGGAAGAGGAGACAGAGGACCCAGACGCACCGTGGCAGTATGCTGTGGAGATGGAGGCAGGGAGTCCCTCGCATTCCTTGGCACAAATGGCCCATAGCATGCTCGCTTGCTTGCGTAGCGACAGCCGAATAATAACCATCAGACAGAGGGATGACTTTTGGCTGTCCACCTTGTTGGGACCCTCGCTACCGTTCAAAAATGGTGGCCTTTTTCACACCTGCTGAGAGGGAGGCCAAAATAACGTACTATAAAAACCACCTATGTAGTCAGTTGGTCTCTCTGCCTTTGTGCGCCAACGTCCATCCTCAGACACTGTGGGCCCTGTGCGCTCGCGTTCCGCTGCCATGGCAGCAGGGGAGGGGTGGGGTGGTAGGAGCAGTGGTAGCTCCACCAGCAGCGGCTGCCTCAGTCTGCAGTCGTCGATGATGAGTAGCTTTCTTCACCAGCGCAGTGAGGAAACTACTAACCAGCAGCAGCAGCAGCATCAGGTGGACCTGGAGCAGGACCTCAAACAACAGGCTTGGGCCTACTTGGACAGCACCCTGCCAACCGAGGTAGACAATCCCCTTGACTACTGGGCAACGAAACTTGACCTTTGGCCCCAACTAGCTGAATTTGCCCTTGAAAGGCTGTCATGCCGGCCAGTAGCGTGGCATCGGAGCGCGTGTTTAGTGCGGCAGGAGGTATTGCAACTCCGCGGAGGACACGACTGTCCACCCACCCAAAGTGTGGAGAGACTCACGTTTGTGAAAATGAATCAGGCGTGGATTAGTCTGGATTTCAAACCACCAGTTCCTGACACAACTGACTAAATCCGCCATGAATCATGCCCCAAACATGTGCCACTTTCAGGTCTCCTCACACTGCTGGTGTGTTCCATTTTTTGTCATAGGGTGCTGGCAGATTACGGGCCTCCCATAGCTGCTGCCAGGCCCCTAATCTGCCATGGGCCCCTATACCGCCTCCTCATGCTGCTGCCAGGTCCAGAGTCTCTCATGGGTCCCTGTACGGCCTCCCATTGCTGCTGTCTCCATCGCCACACTCTGCCATGTGCCACTTTCAGGTCTCCTCACACTGCTGGTGTGTTCCATTTTTTGTCATAGGGTGCTGGCAGATTACGGGCCTCCCATAGCTGCTGCCAGGCCCCTAATCTGCCATGGGCCCCTATACCGCCTCCTCATGCTGCTGCCAGGTCCAGAGTCTCTCATGGGTCCCTGTACGGCCTCCCATTGCTGCTGTCTCCATCGCCACACTCTGCCATGTGCCACTTTCAGGTCTCCTCACACTGCTGGTGTGTTCCATTTTTTGTCATAGGGTGCTGGCAGATTACGGGCCTCCCATAGCTGCTGCCAGGCCCCTAATCTGCCATGGGCCCCTATACTGCCTCCTCATGCTGCTGCCAGGTCCAGAGTCTCTCATGGGTCCCTGTACAGCCTCCCATTGCTGCTGTCTCCATCGCCACACTCTGCCATGTGCCACTTTCAGGTCTCCTCACACTGCTGGTGTGTTCCATTTTTTGTCATAGGGTGCTGGCAGATTACGGGCCTCCCATAGCTGCTGCCAGGCCCCTAATCTGCCATGGGCCCCCGTACCAACTCCTCATGCTGCTGCCAGGCCCGTAATCTGTCATGGGCCCCTGTACCGCCTCCTCATGCTGCTGCCAGGTCCAGAGTGTGTCATGGGTCCCTGTACGGCCTCCCATTGCTGCTGTCTCCATCGCCACACTCTGCCATGTGCCACTTTCAGGTCTCCTCACACTGCTGGTGGTTTCCATTTTTGTCATAGGGTGCTGTATGGCCTCCCATTGCTGCTGCCTCCACCGCCACACTGTGGCTCCACACTCTGGTTTTGGCCCAAATGAGTGAAGTGTGCGGTGATTCTAAGATCGACGGCACTCATCTGCATGTCATACTGACTGACAGTATTATTTCTCTTCCCCAGCAGACTCCAAGGGCATTTAAATTAAAGGTACAGTGTTCTGCACTAATATAAAGGCTCTCTGAAGCCTAGAAACACCCTTTTATAAGTTAAATTCGCAGCGAATATATTCGACTCGAATCAAAATTTTTCCACGAATTCGCCGAATCAGTCGAATCGAATTTTTGAATACTTCGCTCATCTCTAGTCTTAATAAATTCCCCTCATAGTATCTGACGTATGTGCAATTTACATTCACTTTTGTCATCTATATATTTTTATTAGATAACATTTACTGGGTGACAATATCCCTTCCATAAAGAAGAAGAATGTATTAATGATCAATAAAGGAAGAAAAGGAAAAAATACAGAGAATAAAGACAAAAGATGGGCTTAGTTAATCTGAGAAGGAGAAGAGCCATGACTGAACCAATGCAGAGAACCCTATTTACTTTCAGTCGTACATGCTCTGTGGTTAAGGCAGATACTTATCAGGTGGAATCCTTGTAATTAAGAATAGCTATCTGGATGATCTTTTTTTAAAATATTAGTATTATTTTTTTTTGTCATACAAAAGAAAAAACAAGACACCAAAAAGGTGTCATATGGCATGCATAATGGCTCAATGAGCCTAAAACATACACAAAAAACCTCAGAAAACAAAACCATCCAATATCTCTTACATTCGGTCAGGAGTATACAACACAATACAAACCGAATCACAAAGGGATCCAAATGAAACTTGCAGTGCCGTTCTAAGCCGTTCTAAGAGACAGAGATCTCCCCATTGGTTGCAGTGAAGGGAGCTGGCGTCAGTGCATTATTCAAAGTGTAAGAGCATTATCAAAAAGAAGAGAAGGCACTGCTCACCAGCCCAGTGCATTAGTATGTAGAAGAATGTGGTCCCAGCCAGCACTGACTGAGGCCACATGCATCTACACACTAATGCCCAGGGTTAGTGAGTGGCTCCTTTTCTTCTCTTTGATAAAGCATCACAATGGGTGTGCAACAATTGGTACCCTTCAATACACTCCAAATGGGTGATCTATTTCAATCTAGCTCAATATAACCACAGTGCAAATGTGACTGCATTAACCTTATGATTAGAGGCAGTCCCTGATTTACGAACTCGTACTTACGAATGTAGGGAGATATAAGAAGTGAGAGGAAATCTACCCCTAGGAAGAAAAAATCACTCCTGTAAGAGTTATCAAGGGAAAAAGGTGTCTCCACTGAAGGTTTATCATCAATCCTTGTTTCCATGACGATCTAAAATTTTCCAAATACAATTGTCACAGAAAGTGAGGTGAAATCTTTCTGTACAGGGGCACAGACAACAAAACAAACATTACAGGGGTGCTAACCCTTCCCTATGCTATCCAAAAACCTAAAAATATTTTTTTTTTGGCTGGAGTCCGTGGTCTCGGTTCACACTACCGCTACCTGAAAGTCGCACGGCTTCCTGGTGACCTGAGCACTACTTTGATGTGACTTTGAAACAACTTTGAAGCGACTTTCAAGAAATGTCTGGGTAATCTTCTTGTAATGTCAAATCTAAATCACATCAATCTAGATGAGAATCTGACTTGGAGATGACTTCCATTAAAATCTATGGGCACAAGTCAGATAGAAGTCACCTTGAAGTAGTACAGGAACATTTTCTAAAGTTGGTGTGACTTTAGTAGTGCATATTAAGACAGTTCTCATTGACTAACATGAGATTTCATATATCATGCAACTTGGGGTCTCACAAGTCAGATCCCAAATCACGGCAGTGTGAACCGAGCCTTTAAAAATGTACCTGTTCCAACTTACATACAAATTCAACTTAAGAACAAACCTACAGGCCCTATCGTGTTCGTAACCCAGGGACTGCATGTAAACTGTATAGCATGAAACGCATCAATACATTTTTGCTGATATAAGGTACTTATTTGAATAAAATCTTATGGTGCTATACTGTAATCCCTGCACTATTGGTGCATTTGTTTTGATATACAGCTGGGCAAAGTTGGTGTGTCGGAAGTGAAGAGGGCGTTTGGATTCAAAACTATCACATGGTAGTTGGTGTTAAATTATGTGACATGACGGAACTATTGCATACAATGGCAATCACTGTGCAGAAAAGTGGGCCTTATAAAATGTCACATGATTCTTGCATATATATGTTGCAGTCAAGTGTCTCTAGGGGTCATGATAGGCATATCACTGATAATGGCCCCAAATGAATGATCCTAGGTTTCCAGATACACCAACGATAGACGATAGACGATAGACAATAGACGATAGACGATAGATAGACTCCCTGAGGATGCCACTAGGCGAAACGTACGTAGCAGCGTGATTCCATCACTTCCGGGTTCCGATGATGTCATGTCTTGCTCAGCAAAAGCAAGGCTTGGAAAGCACATCGGCCATTTTTGGATCACACAGGCTATACAGACTGGTGCCGGGTACTAGGGCATCTTTGCATGTGAGTGCACAATTGTTTGTTTTTTATACTAATGAATGCTGTATACGTCATAACAATGCACTATTGACCACCTTAACCGGGGTCAAATAAGTCTGGTGAGTGAGCAATTCACTTATTTTCATCTGCACGGGGTGAAAGTACATAGATTCCTGATTCACAGCAATGTATTTTTGAAAGGACTGTTACTTTAGCATTGCGACTCACTTCATGTTTACTATTGATTAAGGTTTATTATTGTTGAGTTAACACTGGGAGTATGTAGCATTGCACCTAATTTTAAATACTATTTTGTTGCAAAATGTAGAGAGACGTATTGATTATATGTTTTATGGTTACACAGCGCATAAGTATTCAGGATTGTATATGCTCAAGTGTAACTTCAATTTTTAGGGGCAGCTGTAAATTCACACTTTTGACACAGTGTGGGCACGATATTATTATTTAACACAATGACACTAGGCACCACAATAACATTTCAAATTTTATGCTAACTCAAGTCCTCATTTATATTGAAATGGAGTTACTCTTAACATGCCTTCCTGGCACAATGTCTCAAGACTATGGGCAAAGTCATGTCATGAAGGTGGGTGGCAATCTTTTCTGCACTCATTGGGAATGAACGTGCTACCTCCCTGTTTGCCACATTTCAGCTCAACCATCCGGGAAAGGCAAAGAGGGGGCTGTGCTCCAAGGTACAATTGCACTCTGCAAAATTTTTCCTGTAGTAAACAGCAAATAATAATTAATCAGCTTCTGCATTACTGACATATGAATAGTAATGTATATAGAAAAGACATATTTAAATGTATAGCATATACAAGCAAAACTCATTTATCTGCAAGGCCCCTTTGTGAAGTAAGACAATATAATAAAAGCAGCGATGTAAGAAGCAAAGAAAATTCTGTCCTGTTAGAATTCATTGGGAACTGCAGAGGAAAATCACTGCTTCACTTTAATGACTTGTAAGATGACCACAATTAAAACATTCTCCCAAAGCCGCTGGAAGAAATAATTATGACAGGTTATGGCTTCATTAGATAAAGATGAAAAATTAATTGTTTCACTTAACAGTTACCTTCTAGAAGATCACTATGCTAGTATTAGAATGAACTGAACAGTGTGCACTCTGGCAGTGGACTGCGAGACTGCTCTCATCTATTTCATAGGTACTGTTCTCCCTCTATTGGACATTTAATGGATACACACTATGAGCAGGCACAGACTCAGGACGGCTAAGCCTAGAAGCTTCATACATCGATTAACTGGAAGTGCATTAAAAACACGTATTCATGAGCCTTCGAAACACAATGCATATACTTTAAATCTGGAGTTGAATTATGCCAACTTACCTTACCAACTTCAGTAATCAGTCCTTTAACTTTAGTTCACCATATTGATCCAGATACAGGGAAGGGATGATAAAAAAATATAATGGCTAACATTATAAACAACGGTTTTTTAAATATATTGATCTAGAGCTGTCATGCATTCTAGCATCAGTGCCTAGTGAAGGACTGCTCTGGAACAAACTTCCACATACTTTTTACTCCTCCTGCACATGGGTGTATTAAAATACTCCTATCTAAACTGAATCTTTCTGTCAGGGGATGGCGGAAAAATCTAGTGTAAAAAATGATAATTTTGGGGTGTGATTATGCGTGCTTATGTGAGTTTACTGCGGTATGGTGTTGAGCATAAACTTATTCTACTGGCCAGAATATTAACGTATTCTAGCCATTAGAATAAATGTATGTGCATATGTTCTCATTTAGGCACATTTCCGTTCATTTACATACACAGGTGAGTAAATTATCTTCATAAGCTCTTCTCTGAAGACAGCTTTGTTTTTGTTTTGTTTTATGCCTGTAAATGTTGCTCTAAAAATATTGATCCAAATGCCTGATGTGCATGGCCACATTGGCTAACATAGAACTGTATTTAAAGCCTGTAAGCCTGTAAAAGCAGCATTTGTAATGCCTGTAAACAAGAGACCTTAGACTCAAGCTGACCATACATGCATAAATTTCTGTCATTCAGCCCATGAGTAGAACTGCACAAATCTAACGAACAGTTCAGATGGATAAGTCTCCCCCGTCACCTATGGTATACTGACAGCCAGCATTCACGGCTGTCTGAATTCTCCCAACAGTGACTGTAGCTAGTTGGCTGAGGTCACTGTTTGGCCGACAATTTTCCACCCGGAACCTTCAATCTTTAGATCAAATTCTTTCAAGCTGGATGGTGCCGGTAGGGCCACACACTGATCAAATTTTGTCTGATTCAGATTAAATTAATTCCATGTTTGGACAGTATAAATGAGGGGAATTTTAGGTTGTGACAGCCCTGGAGCCTGCACCTTTACAAACCAAATCAGTAATGGCAGTTGTTATGGGTTTTTTTCCAAATTTCATTTTAAATTAGACCTTGGGCCGTTTAAATATAAAGCACATAAGCAAAAGCTAGACTACCCAAAGCTGGGAATGATGTAGAGAAGTTATTTTTATTAAGAAATAATACAATAAATATTTAGTGCTCCCCCAAGTACAAAATTAAAGCAAGCCTATCTTTTCCAGCTTTTTCCAGGAGTTGACAGTTTTTTTTT